TGACAGCCTATGCTCAACGAGTGAACAGCGGAGACACCATTGAGTACCGGACACAAGACATGAGTGTCTCATGGGATGAGCTCAACCCAGACATCCGACTACTGGAGTCTAAAGTGTCGCTCATATTCACAAACTTTGTCTTACATTACATCCAAAATAAGACAAAACTATTGCATATATTCTCGCGATTGCTGTCCACTGAGGGCTCAATTCACGCCAATATTATAATACTTCCGGATCTTAACAAAAAGCTATCGCCAGATGATCGCAAAGACTATTATCTTTCAGTTGATCAACAGATACAACAATGGAAAGAGGCTTTGGATGCAAATGGATTGACTGCTCAGGAGTTTGAGATCGTGGACGATGTCTGGCATCAGAGCCGTCAAGAGATCATAGGTTTGTATGGAAACTATGTCTGCATTTGTATTGATGTCTAAAATTTCAATGAAGTTTTAATTATTTAATTATTTTTTTTGGTTAGATTTTCTACAAGTATTGATCCACGACTTCAGACCATTCTTCGCGAGTGGTGACCAGTTTGAGGCCCAAAGCAAACACATGTCTGACATTGTATTTGATGCCTACGTTAACCCGGGTATTGATGAGCCTAACCCTAACGCCTGGAAGAAATTCATGGCCAACGATACCATCACTCGAGTGGTCTTACATTTCAAAATATTGAGACTTATTGCCAATAAATAATCACAAATTGTTATCAATCAATAAATAAACTATTTTTGATTATTATTTACTATAGTGTATTATGATTAGTTAAATACTATTTAAGTATCAATTTTAATAATATTTGTAGTGGTTGTTTTTTGTCTATAATATAAATTATTTCCATTCAGAATAAAGAATAATAAAAAATTTCTATAACATAACTATATTCATATAAATTCAATAAGTTATTGACAATAACTGATAGGGTATGGCCTCTAAGTTATTGATTAGTTTACATTGGCTGTGTCGACTTAGCCCGCAAAATTACTGCCCACAAAATTTCATATGTAACTTTTATTAAAACTTACAATATTTTACCCACAATTTTGCCAACAATTCTGCCAACAATACTGTCCACAATACTGTCTGCAATTCTGCCCACAATTCTGCCCACAAATTCTATTTATAATTCTATCCACAATTCTGCCAAAATTTTGTGAGCAGAATTGTGGGCAGAATTGTGGGAAAAGGTATTTAGTGAATTTGTGGGCAGAATTTCGGGCAGTATTGTGGACAGAATTGTGGGTAGTTATGTGGGCAGAATTGTGGGCAGTATTGTGGGTATATTTGTGGGTATATTTGTGGGTAAAATATTGTAATTTTTAATAAAAATTACATATGAAATTTTGTGGGCAGTAATTTTGCGGCGGGAATTTTGCGGGCTAAGTCGACACAGACGTTTACATTATTTCTAAAGTTTTAAAATATATTTATAGCCAAAGCACTCATACTTTACGTAAACTACAGAATAATTGCTTAGAATTAAAGTGATTGGTAAGGAAATGTATGCTGGCAATTAATCTAATAAAAACTTATTTATATT